TCCTTTTTGAATGTATGTTGAAAGATGTACAGCAATCTTTATCAAAGGTTAAAATAAAATTAAAGAAAAATTAAATTTTACTAGACGGCTTGCAAAACTTCTGGCCAGTTCCATGTGGATCTGATGTGGAGAAGCTGTTTCTTTGACAATACTTTACCCTTGATTCAAAGTCGATACAAATTTCATATTTTCTTTCAATAACCTGACATTTTCGAATCAGCTGTGCCTATTTAGGGTTTGATTTGATACTGTTTAACTAGATCGCACTATAAAACATGTTTTCCATGGGTAACAGTAATTCGTGAGCTGGTAACCTGACTTCACATTTTTGCTTTTTCAAAAACATTAATTACTAAATTAAACCAATTACCTGGTGTTTCAAACTCAAAGTGACAGTGTATTTTGAGTCTGTAGTTTTTAATTGAGGAGTTGGTTACAATTATTATGTAACAGAAGCTTCATAAAACATGTTTGTTGCAGGAGGACTGTATTAGATAAAAGGTGTAAGCAACCAACCAATATTTATTTTTCTTTAACATATTTATCAATATCAAACATCACATCTCCACCTCATAAATATAGACAGCAACATCAGGTATACAGTGTGTAATAGGCATACAGTGGTGATGTGAAGCAGAGTACCACTTTATCAGCACATCTCAAAAAGCATGCATACAGTAGTCAAAGGACACAGAAATGAGGAAACTCAGCTTCATTTCTGTGGATCAAACAGGCACAAACATCCAAAACATACACATTCTGGGTGTTTTAAGGCATTCTGGGTATTTGCATCCTTCGTGTGCTCAGGAAGTTTAATAACTCCTTAATATGAAGAATGTGTAACATCTGAAAAACAACAACAATCACGTGTAATATTGCAAAAAGTGGAAATGCTTTCATACTATCAAAGTGTGATTCTGGGGGGTCATCCTACAGTTGAAAACATGTACCCTGTACTCCTAACATTAGGGGGTTGAGTCCAGCTCATGACACATTATTTTTATATCTACTCTGATTTGGCGTGTTACCAGCAAATATTTGTCACTTTCAGGGTGGAAAGAAACAGAACAAATATCTCAATGTGTGCAGATCCGAAGCAACTGTAAACGATTTCCCATAAAAGTTCCAAGGACACATTTCCACCTCAACAGATTATGACAAGCTCTTGTTGTGCCGATGGGAACCTATTCTTTATATAAAAAAAGAAGAGGAAAAACCAGTGATCAAATACTGAACAAACAAATAAACACATAAAACACCATATGTGCAACAGATGTACAGCAATCTGACACATAATTTCAATAAATAAAAATATGTGAATAAAATCAAAATAATACTTTTACATTAAGACAGACTTAAATGGTTTTTGAACACTTTCAAAGAAGACACAGTTTGCAGACTGTCAGGTTTCCTTATATTAACAGTTGTCTGGGAAAATAAAGGCACTTAAAACACAACAAGGAAATATAGAACTCTTATATAGAATATAGAAGTCCTCTTTATTTTTTTATCTTTTACTCAAGATAAAACAAAAATAATCATCTTTCGGGACTTCAGAGGCTCAGTTGTAAAAGCTGGTTGTGTGTCTCCTCTCCTCTCACTGCAGCACACATTTGTCTTTGTTGCTGTATTTTTGCCTCCTCATCTCTAGACCGCGCTCCAGACGCTCATCCTCCTCCAGTGCCCTGCAAACACACAAATATTACAGTACAGTGCGTATGACATTAACTCTTGGCCATCTAAACCCAGACCTGTATCAAATAACTTATTGGAAATAAGGAATAGAAAATTGTACATATCATTGAACTAAATACACTTTTATATTTGTCTTTTTGCAAGCATTAACCTGAGGGTTTAATATGAAACATGATGATCAAATAATATAAAATGTATTGTATGTAAATGTGTTTTCAAAGCGTCTTTATTTGAGGAATTTGCAATCTACCTATGTTTTGTCTTTCACACCACTATACATCCACGCACACTCACCCTCTCTCCTTGGCGTCGATGTCTCTGATGATCTCGTCCCGTTGGTTTACCAAAGACACCAGCTCTTGGAGGAGCAGCTGCTCCCTCTGCTGCTGAGTGGACGTCTTCTGCCAGTCTGCAGGACAAACAGCAGAACTTTACGTGTACAGTGAGGAAAGGGCAGTTTATTGAAATAATTTATACTGAACACCTGATTTTTTTCTTGATGTTGATTGCGAACAGCTGATTTTTTAAATCTATTTTATTGTTTTATTATGACATTTTAGCCTTGTATTGTTTTATCTTTTGCATTTGTCTGTGTCTTATTATCAGCATGTCAGACATAAAATCACTTTTAGTGCACTACTATGTATGAAAGGTGCCATACAAATATTGACTGACTTGTACTTAACTTCAGGTTTTTGCATTTAATGCTATTTTATACTTCTACTC